TCACATGAGTAACTGAGTACTCACTGAGTAACAATACTCAGAAATTGTTAGTAGTACCAATATGAGTACTCATGGACGAATTATGAGTAAAGTCGTACTCATCGTATGAGTACTTTCACTAGGGTAGGTAGTCGACCATGCTGATTCCGAATATCAAGATGAGACGGGCCAATAGGCCTCCAGAGACCAGTTTTTCAGAAACTGCAAAAAAAACCAAAACATTTCTTAATGTGGCATAATTGTAGCCCGCATATTTCTGATTAAATGAGACCTCTCCCAGCTCTACACGGCCTTTCTTTGCAAAGTTATAGAATTTACAAGAAAAGCCCTAAACGTTCATTGTCAGCTCAAAGCTACAGAAATAAGAAGAATTTAGTAATTTAGGGCTTTTCTTGTAAATTCTGTAACTTTGCAAAGAAAGGCCGTGTAGAGCTGGGAGAGGTCTCATTTTAATCAGAAATATGCGGGCTACAATTATGCAAAAATAATTTCCAGGCAAGTTTATTTTGTTGACCTTTTTTAGTCAAACCGTACAATACCAGCGCAATCAGCCCATATGTCCGGTAAAAAACAGAATAAGCTGCACTCTACACCTACACTAGCGTTATCTACAATATAGTTTTTCAAAATATCGTTTTTAGCCGGAATTTGACTAGACTTTTATTATAAAACATTTTTAACTTTAAAGACATTTTTAAAGTCATTTCGACGTAGAGACTCAAGTTACAAAATAGTAATGGTGAAAAAGTGATTCTATCTTCGTATGACCAATTTTAGCGTTGTTTTCTTTTAGCTTCAAATAGCGGCTTCAAGGAGACTATCTATCTACGTCAGTTTGCATTGATCCTGACTCCTTGGAGCTACTGTTTGTAAACAATCCCGAATACCAGAGGACATTGGCAACTTCTTTAAGCGATCTCAACAATGGAATGACCAGTACAGGTGTCTCTCAGAAAAGTTCCTTTCAGCTTTGCCGTTTTTCTAAAGTGTACTCAGATTTGAAAGATAGTAGTGTCCTTGTGATGCTAAATTCATATACAATAGCAATAATTTGAATCTATTCTTTGTACATCAATAAAAGTACTTTTTCTTTCTCATGCTACTCTACCTTTATTAGAAAAATAGATTTCTTTTAAGACCATTTGCAGGTCTCGTATTGGTGAAACGGAGTGATATTGTTCGGACATTCTTATAGATCAGATGTTCTTTTTACGGTCATCTAACTGTAGCGTAAGTTTCTTTTCTAAACAACAGCAACATACTTTTGACCTTTCAAGTCGTTTATTTCCCTTGTAGATCATCCAACAGAAGAATTGTTCATTAATCAATCTATAGGTTCGTAACCATCTTGACAACTGAAGTCGCCCTTTTACGTTTTAGTCTCATCTACTTAGATGTAAAACTGTACGAAGATGATGCTTGGTAGTACACAAAGTTCTACTTTGGATGGTATAAATCAGTTAGATGCAGAACCCGGAGGTTGTGTTGATTTAATTGTGTTAGGAATTAACTATCGTAGCACAGAAGACGTCGTTAGGAATTATTTTGCCCAATTTGGTGAATTAGTGTTTACTGAAGTAAGTATCGTGCCATCAGAAATTCTATAATTCTTAGTTTTCTATTATTACTTGTTTAGATAAAGCGTGATAGTAATGGGAAATCACGTGGTTTCGGTTTTATTCGTTTCAAAAATTTGGATTCCCAACTGATGGTGTTGAATAAACGGCATCATATTGACGGAAGAGCATGCGACGTAAAAATACCCGACTCAAAAGTATGTCATAATTCCTTATCATTTATTTGTTTCAGAGTAGTATTGTTTTCTTATTTCAGAATCCGGCACACGAACCAGAATGTGCTAGAAAAGTATTTGTTGCACGATTGCCAGAGATGATTAATGCCGATGATTTAAATAATTATTTTCAAAATTACGGTGACGTTTGTGACGTTTATATCCCAAAACCTAACCGCAGCTTCGCTTTTGTCACATTTACCGATTCAGCTATTGTTCCAAAATTGTATGGAGAACATTTTATTAATGGGTGTAGTGTAAGTGTTGGACCAGCAGCACCAAAATCGAAACAAAACGAAAACCAGTTCAAACGTCCGAAGCAAGGTTTGTTTGTTTTTATCACCTTGTTTCTTTTTACAATACAATTCCTTTTTAAGTTTAGATTCTCTAATACCAAACTCTCCTTTTATTCCACCAATGAACGTGTATGGAGCACATAATTCATATCAAGACAATAGATCGCAAAACGATTTATTAACGAACATGTTTAATCCAGATATGGTGCAAGCATTTTTAAATCAATTTTCTCACCAGTCAACGCATCCAAAATACGATTGGCCGTTAGATCAGACATCTTATAGTAGACATTCAAATAATTATGAGCATAGTGAACATTGGAATCAACAAAATTTTTATGGTTAACATGGCTTCGTATGTTTTTATTTAGAGTTTGTGTCTACTTTTCTTATTTGAATCAACAATTATTCGACATCCATATTATGTTTGACAGTACTGTTAAACATTATTTCTATGCATTGAATCGTGTCGACTAAGCAGTCTTTCGAAACAAACAGAAACCTTTGACATCTGTCTCAATGTGTATGTGTGTGTTTTTTATACGTAGGCTATACGTTTTTTTGTTGTTTTTTATTTCTTTGTTTTATAACCTTACCAATTTTTTTATGCGTATGTTTGTCTTTTATTCGCATCAGTCGCTTGCCAAGTGTTCTCACTTTTTGAATGATAATATCATGATATGTTTATAAGACAAAATTAGAAAATAACAACACTTCCTTTGCCTCCAATATTATAGACCGATATGTATATAGATAAAAACTGGTTTTTTAGCTAAAATATCTATAAAGATCAAATCAGTTTTCGTTTTTATTTGTCGCCTTTTCTAAATATTGGTTGGTTAAACGTTATACCTGTTTCTACGAGTAAACTAAAATTCTACTTCAGGTGTTTAATTTAATTCCAATGACACATTTTGTCGTACGTTTTTCACTCCGTCTCAATTGCCAGTTGTGTTTTTTTTCTTGTTATGAGTTGCAGGTGAGGGTAATATCGTAAGTTTATATATTTTAGAAATCTTAAAGGAACGTTAAATAAATCTACAACAGTTAACCGCGCAATATTTCATACAATGCATTGAATCTCAACCCAACGGCTAACTGCTCCAAAGAAAAAGTTCTATGCAAGTCGCTTTGATGATCACTTTTCAAGGGTATCGATTTTTTTGATCACCAAACACTTTTAGATACAAATGGGACCAAAATTTTCGACATGTCTCAATTACACACGCTTTATACAGAGAGAAACGCTGGGCACGATCTGACTGCAGTGCTTATCGGTTTACAGTAAGTGTCATGAATAAGCAAAGGTCAACAATATTTTTCTTCTTTTACTTGCATTATTGAAACGAGAGCTAGGCAAAATTCTTCGAATTACCTCAACAGTTAGTATCATATCATGAAAATTGTTAATGCAGCATCAAAACGATTTATAATTAAAATAAATCATTTTTTCGAAAATTAAATAAAATCATAAAGCACTATGCATAAGGGGAAGATGAGAACAAAGTGTAGAATGAGTTATGCTTTATAGGGTTTGTGGGAACTTCTATTTCCAAGTCCTTCAAGTAAAGAAAGAGTAAGCGGATTTTGGAGAATCGTTTAGATAGCCAGAAACAAAAAGGTATCCAGACTGTGTTCAGACCTTCTATTCAGGTTTTGAAGTGCTTTCGAATGCTCATTAACGATTTGGATCCTAGTCCAATAGATACGACTTTACAAATGAAACGCCGAGAGCGATGAGCAGCTGTAGTATTGCACTCAGGTGTATGAGAAACTACAACAGATTGTTACCGTAAGAGGAAAAACGACAGCCACATGTACGATACGATTGAAAGGTGTATAACGGCCAAGATAACCTAGGAAGAGACGGTCACACGGCATGCCACTGTGATATTAGGCAAAATACGTAGGGACGGGGTGACGATCAAACTAATGAAGACCCCAAAATGGCCGAAAAAGATATAAATGAAGCCGAAATTCGAAAGAGAAATAAAATAAAAGAGGATGCTTTCTGAATATTCAATTATTTCAATGCTCTCTGAATATTTTTACTCTCAGAGCTTATATTCTTCCACATACGGCTTTCTTATATAATCGATCCATGATACTTATGCATCCATCAACTTAACGAGATCAAACAGAGAGACATCACATTTAAAATTCTTAACTTATATATTCAGAGGAATTGTGATTTGTCATCTCATTTAAAACTCTTTTTATTTAAGAATAACTAATAAATCACTAAACTTAATGTAATAGACAAAGCAGGATTATTTTTTTATCAAAGTCTTCTACCAAAATAACAATCAATTGCTGCTTACAATTTCGCATCTTGATTGTTTATCAAAGCCTTACAGTAGTTGATGCTAGAGAAACGGCGTTCGAGACTATAAATAAACAACGTATCAAAGAGGTGAACGAAGGAGATCAAATGATTCAAGAGAAAATTAAACAAAAATCGACGAACGAGAAGCTCCTCGCAGAGTATCATCAGCCAGCACTCCTTCAGTCATATATAAAAAATAATCGGAGACCAGATGAAGATTCAGGTTTCTTGTTGCTGATAGTATTGCTATTTGTTTTTGAAATTTATATTCAACTTCATAGGTTGAGAATAATGTTGCCTGTTAATAGATGTTGTGTTTAATGCTGCTTTACAGTTATTTTAACATGTTTTCTCAAATCACGCCTATTATAGTTTTTTAATTGAACTAGTGGATCTCGATTGTTACTAAATACTAGATAAATGACTCGATAAAATCCATTGTTAAAAATGGTATGCGATAATTAAGCAGTTGTTTTGTTCATCATGAACAATCAATCACAATGTCGAGTTATTAGTCAATCACTGTACAAATGCATCTTATATTTCAAATAATAAGATAATTAAAGTCAGATTCATCGTATCTTCTGATTTTATGACCTAAGTAAGAGTGGTCGGGTCGGACCAGAAAAATTTTAGAAATAGTCAGACCCGATCGAAAGATTTCCTCATCGGACCGGATCGGGTTGAAGACCTCCGTTCAGAATTGTCAGAAATATTTTTATAAATTAAATCTGTGTACAATTATAACTTGAAACTGTTATTTTGATTTTCGTAGTTTGATCACAATATATAGAAGAATTGTATGAAACAAATGAAGGATCATAGTTGAACGTAACGAACATTTCGGTTTCTCTTCCATCTGTTGTGTAGAAGTGAAGCGTACCTAAAATATACATTGTTTAAAAGCACACGTGTCTACAGAAATGAATAACCATCTAACCTTAGAAAAACATTTGACACTGCTAGAAAAAAAGAGAAATATTGTTAAAATTTTGCATTTATTGTAGATACGTTCCACTTACGCATTCCAAAAACAATTATACCACATAAACCACACACCACAGCTACAATTCGTGCTTCTAATGATCTTGGAAATATGTCGCCGTATCCCAATGTTGTTAATGTTATCAGAGCTAACCACATTCCATCAAGAATATTTTTTGTGTTTGATTCAGAATTAGAATTATCACAAATGTACAGTGCTGTACCAAATAATAACATGCAGAATGTAACTAGTACGAATAATGTCACTACTTCATTCAAACATAGAGAAATAGCGTTATATAATAATCTCAGATGTGACATTTGTCGAGCTAGACGGTAAATTCGAAATGATTTCATTATCAGTATCCAACCATAGATCGAAAACATGTTCGAAAGTGTTGATGTATTATGTAAATGATATGCGATCAGAGAAAATGCCGATGATACAGTCGTTATTATGTCAATATAATTTAATGGATCAAATTTTAATGTAGACAATGTAGGTGTTGTTATTACGCGAAGAATCAATTCAAATGAAAACCAAACTGTACAGGAAATCTCAATTAAATACGCATGATAAGGTATAATAGGTAAAAACAACCTTTTATTTAAATCTAATCCCAATATGTGTATTATATTTCGTTGTTCAGTAACTGTTGGTAAAATTTCGAAAAGAAATGGATACATTGATGATGTTGTCATTGATATACAGAGCCACGAGACAACCTTTCCATATGTTGTGTCTTCAGGATATGTCAATGCTAGCCATAACCATGCTGTCAAACGTGTGTTAGGTAAGAGACGAACTTCTTTTAATGGCACCATATCTACTTCGATAAATGTTTCTAATAATTTCTAGATTAAACATGTTAAAACGGGAAAATAAAAATGGAGTAATAAGTGACGACTATCAACTTACATCCGATATACCAAAAAATTTCACTTCTTCATAAAATATTTCTGGTTCAATATGCGGTGGACGAATGAGCATGCCGGGGCTGGTATAATAATATAGAATAGCTTCAAATATCGATGGATGCCGATTAAAACGATAAGCTTGAAGTTCTTTATCATAATATTTGTTACGTCGTTCATCATTGCCAAGAACAGTATCAGGATATGTTCGTAACTGAAATAAAGTTCAATCAAGTAATATATTTAATCGGATCAGTCTGACAACATACGTGTCGATTTTGTACGATATATTGTTTCCCGGTTATCAGTATTACTGAGCGATCTTTTTCTTCTTCAGTTAATAACGGATGTAGTGCAACTAATTGTTGTAAATTTAAATTTTCAAGACTATTCATTCTTTGTCGTCAAACGAATACGATTGATTGACTTATAATTACACAGGTTGCCATGGGACTGATAGGTATTAATTAATTCTGATACACTCAACAAATCTCTAGGTCCTCATCGGATGATGAATCAGAGCTCAAATCACATCATTTTTAAAACATTAGACACTTTACGTTTAAATACATAAGGCAGAAATATCTCATATTACAAATTATAAGGGAGACAAGCCACATATCGATCTATTATTAATTAAGAATCGTATACGAAAGATCATTATAAAAACAGGTACAATACTGAACAAGAATTTAAAAGAGAACACATGAAGGGGTAACACAGAATAAGCAGTAATGAATAGAGATCATGTGAAATACTAGGCATCACTTATCCACTTTACCGTGAAAAGATGGCTGTATTTGAAGTGATAACTAAAAGAAATTTTTTGACATTTTTTTTAATACAGCTATCTTTTCGCGATGAAGTGGATAAATACCGATGAATGACCACGAGAAACTAAGAGTTGCCACTATATGCAGCCATATTTGAAATTCATCCAGTCAAAATTATAATTCCAATAAGATTCAAATCTTAATTTGACTTCAGGCTGAAGATTGACAGTCAAATTTTAAATTTGGCTATTAAAATTAGAATCAAGAATCTAATTTGAATTCTGGCTGACAATCGTTAGCCACATTTAAAATCTAGAAAAAAAACTACAACATATGTGTACAACTTTATTGTTCTTCTTTTCTGTTCGCTGTAAAGCGAGAAAAGATGACGGGAGAAAAAGAAAAATCAGCTATTATCTTCCTTTTTCTTTCCATATGTTCTTTTGCTCAAAAAACCTTTCGTAAAAACGTATAACAACATGTCGAACATTTCCTCAAATCTCTCTAGTCATTTCCGGCCACCGAACTCCAACGGTGGCCTGCCGTGTGAAAACTCATCAATTTGTTTTATAGATCCGACAAGTGTCGAAAAGTGGATTTCAGTAGGTTTTTCGAAAATCCACACTTGTCAAAAAAATATTTTTCAGTTAGTTTTCGCTGGTTTTTCGAGCCAATACCACCAACTGAGGTAAAGCAATTTTTCTGCACTACTTTTAGTTTTTGACTAAATACATCCGTTTGATCAAGCCAGTGGTGAGTCAAGTGCATTAGGATACCTGGAGATGTTTTTTATCAACTGAAGTTAGGAAAATGACAAAAAGAACCACTTCTTATTATATTTATTATTCAAAAAATCGCTGAAAAGTCACTGGAAGTGATTTTCGAAACGCTTTATTTGATATTTTCTGTAAGCCACTGTTCTATTTTATCTCAGCTAATCGTATGTGGCAGAGCTCTGTATGGACTCAAATTTTTGAGTCCAGTCCATGGACTAAAAATATCTAGTCCAGTCTGAGTTCATGAAAAACAATTTTTTAAGTCCAGTCCAGTCCAGTCCGAGTCCAATAGATTGAGTAAATAGCCTAATGGACTTTGCAAACCATTAGAGAATTAGATGTTTTTGTCGCGCCGAACCAAATTTGATGAAAATAAGGTAGTATATGCAGATTTTCCCGATGAATCCGACAGGAGGTTCCTTGTAATTTTATTCTGACGTCGACATGATCTACATGATTTTTGCCTAACTTTTGGTTCTCTCATTGGTTAAGAAAAAAAGCGCCAATGATAGAACCAAAACTTAGGCAAAAACCATATAGATCGTGTCAACGTCAGAGAAGAAGTCAGAATAGAATTACAAGGAAACCACTGTCTAATTCATCTGGAAGCTCTACATATACCATCTTATTTTCATCAAATTTCGTTCAGTGCGTCAAAAGCACCTAATTCCCAAATGCTTCTGTATGCTCTAATAAAAAGTAAGTATTAAAAATTATATAAAGGGTGGCCCAGGAGTCCTGTCTTATTCAGTACTTTCTCAATATCTCGGTCAAGGTTGATCGACAAGTCTCAATCGTTTTTTAAAAGAAACCTTATTCAATTCTCTATACAAAACATATTGAACATTTCTTTTATATACTATAAGAATAAAAAATATAAAGGAAATACGGGAAAGCTTCAATATCGATTACTTTCAAACCGAAAGACACATTTTTCAATTTCAGTCCCTTATATTTTGCGAAATGAAAAAAGAGAAAATGACCATTTTATAGTTCTCGGAAAGCTATATCAACTGGCTATATTTAAGACTACTCCTCATAGGTTCAAGCGATCGTAGCAGGATTTTTTTTCTTTTAGCGATTTTATCCAAAATCATTATTTTCTAATCGCAGTTTTGAGACAATTAAGAAGATTTGTGTGATTTGTTCCAAATGACATATTAGGACTTTAGATCTGGTTTATGTTTAACCAAAATGGTTTTTTACTGTTACATCCGAACAGAGAAAGTCGATTAGCCCCGTTTCGTTTCCTGTGCCAAGGCGAAGAAATCAAATTTTCCCTCTTTTTCTACTTTTAGTAAAATCTTTGTTTGTGGCAGAAAAAAGGGCTTGTAGTGAAGTTATGATACAAGAAAAGAAAGCTGATATTGTGGAGCACCCAGAAAATACATTTCGATTCCACTTTGATGCATAGCACCGTGTTCAAAATAAATATTTTTTGGTTGCGCTTTACCTCTGAAAGTAATCGATATTGAAGCTTTCCCGTATTTCCTTTATATTTTTTTATTCTTATCGAATATAAAGAAATGTTCAATATGTTTTGCGTAGAGAATTGAATGAGGTTTCTTTTTAAAAAAGATTGAGACTTGGCGGTCAAATTTGACCAAAATATTGAGAAAATATTGAATGAGACAGGACTTTTGAGCCACCTTTTATATAGTGTCTTTTTAATATTTATTTTTCGTCGTCGTTTTTAAGATTTCGAACAGTCTAATTCATCATCAGAAAAATGTACAGAGAGCTATAAAGAGAGATGTTATTTATACACGAAACTTATACATACTTATAAACGAACATATGAAATAGTCCGTCTGACGGTAGCTAAACTAAAAGGAACACACAATGATATTAACAGACAAGGAAAAGAAATGACGGAATAAAACTAAATTATAAAAAGGACTAGAGAATGAGAGATATGGGTTATTTCATTTTTTATTTTAGTTCTTTGACTGACACATCCTTCTGGGTGTATCTCTAATTCGTCTTGAGCCATTTTTAGAATTTACTTTTATTTTGTTATTTCTTTTTCTTCTCTATTAGTTAGTATTCTAGAATCGCCTTTAACAAAACAAAAACAACTTGTAAACTTGTCGTTTACCGATTTTTCCTCGATTCCAGTCCATCCAAAAATTTTCCGAGTCCATACCAGTCCATGGTCTTGAAAGTTTGAGTCCAGTCCATACGGAGCTCTGGTACTTCCGTACTTTCAGAAAACTTTTGTTAACGAAAGCCTTCCACTTAGTTTACTTGGAATCCTATTCACACTACGATAAATTTTTTCTGAGATACTTAGCGGGGAGAGAGAGCTATTCAAAATCGCTAAACCTGAGACTTAGTTCAATTGAGCGTTAACGCTTTAGTTTTTCTCCTGCAGCACGTCTATTAAATAAAAATATTATATATTGGGTTTTATTATTACGTCAACAAGCAGTTAGCAATGAAATTTTATTTTTAATTTTTTTGTAAATTTTTTTCCTTCTGTGCGCATTTATCATTTATTTGTAACTGATTTGGTTATGAAAGTAGACTGAACACAATTTTCTGCTAATATCAGCAGAAAAAAAATAATGAAGACTTTGTCAAATACAGAAATTTGAACAAACGAAATGAAAATCAGAGAAATAAAAAGCATGACAAGTTTACAGTTCAATTCATCTATTAGTAGTGAGACGTTTATTATCTTAACGAAAGACAACATTTAACGTCTTTGTATGAGGTCAGGTTCCTTTTCTATTTTTTAGAACATACTGGCTTGATAGTCTGGTATTGTAAACTGGTATTCTGTCATCTAGTTGTATGAATTATTTTTATACTTGGATGTTAAAATAACTTACACCACTATTTGCTGATACATTCCTGCCATGTAAACAAATATATGTAATGGACACACAAATAAACATTATAAACTGAAAACAATAACAAAAAGAGAATAAATTTCTCTAATACAAAAATTAAAATATTGTCAAAATATAACAAAAATAAATAGATTTATATTTTTAAAGAGGTAATAGAAAACACAGATGTAAAATAAAAGTGTCGCCAAAAATGAGCTAGCTGTATTGCTCATACTTTTTATTCTTCGATAGATCCTATCAACAGACATTTTCTCGAAGATGATCAAAAATTTAAATTCCGTTGCACTAAAATCGGCGATCATGATTTTTCGTCATCCGGATTAAATATAGGATTTGTTGAACCAAATGACTCATCTCTCTCATTGAACGCTTCAATATTTACGACATGTTGAGAGGAGGACACTGACGATAGTGTGAGATTGTGATGATCATCATTACAGACGTATAATGACGGTTGATAATATGGATTATTTACGGTAGCTGATATCGATGGTATTATTCGAGAGTTATTGATATCGTTATCTTGTATTTGATGAATCCGTGCAAATGGTAGCGCCAAATCGTTTATGCGATTGGATGTGGCTGTTGTAGGAAATGTGTAGGAAATATCAGTTCCTGAACTATTGCTCACGGTTGAAATGATACTCAAATGAGCTTCGCGAGGAATAGATACGCGATAAGCTGTTAGTATATCGAGATTGCATAGTGGACAATGTCTCTTATCTAAGAGCCACGGATCAACGCAGTCTTGATGAAACGCATGTCCACATACTAGAAAAAGAATAACAGTCACAGTTAGCAGGTTGCACAAAAAGAATTATAGTGCTAGTATTTTCAAATTTTCTCCCCTTTCCTCCACTTGATCGAGATATCTTTTTATCAAAAGATGCCTCATCAAATTCTCTACAAAACCAAGGGTGGTATAATTTAAAAGTGGTTTTAGGTATCTCCGAAAAAAGATGAAGGGTAAAGACATTCAAATAGCAGTCGATCTATCACCTTCTCCAGGTCGTCCACACACAAATCGAACAAGAGCAAACATCTCAAAGGTTAAACAGCGCTTGGGTTGCATAAAACGGATGTCAACAAGAAAATTGACCGTTGAAATGAAAATCTCAAGAAGGAGCATCCAGCGAATATTGCACACCGATCTTGGCTGTTTCGCATACAAGAAGGTCACGGGAACAGCGATCTCTGATCTTCAGAAAAAGAAGAAAGTATAGTTTGCAAACTGGGTGTTAAACATCTTCACCAAAGATGACACGAAAAAGTGGCTTTTTTCCGATGGAAAGCTGTTTTGATTTGGATGGGGTGTACAATGCTCAGAAAGAATCGGGTATGGGCAATCAACCGTTGAGAAGCTGACAAGAAGAGTGATGTGAAGCAGAAAACTAAGTTTCCAACGAAAGTGATGGTGTGGTTTAGTTCATGTAGCGACGACCTACCAATACCGGTCATTTTGAACAATAGAACAGTGAATGCAGACAGATACGTCAGGGAAGTCCCTCCAGTAGCTCTCCGATGTAGAGAAGTAAAAATATAAAAATATGTAGTGGAGTAATTAAACGTATCAACAGGATGGGGTCAGGCCACATACAAACCAGTGGAGTCAAAAATAGTATGCCGATCATGTCCCCTACGTTTGTGCCAAAAACTGGTGGCTATCAAATTCACCCGGCTTGAACCCGTTAGACTACAGCATATGGAACGAACTGGCTCAAGCTATGAACTGGGAACGGGTCAATACAAAAGCAACGTTGATCGACGAATTAAAACATACTGTCAATAAAGTTAAAAAAGAAAACATTTTACATTCTGTACTTGATTTCATCATACGATTGCGTCTCATTCAAAAAAATGGAGAAGACTATATTCGTTGAATAAATTACACCGGCTTGTAGAGAATTTGATGGGGGAGTCTTTTCATTTCACGTCAATTCACTTCAAAAGAGTCCAACTTCACTTTCTTTCTCAACTAGTTTAGTTGATCTAACACCACCGTTTTGAGATACAGTTGCCTCATGGCAAATGCTGATTATTCACGTCGGGCGAATATACATCTGAGCTAAAAGTTCTAACATACATCACTATAAACAATGTGTTCTCTAAAAAGAAAAAGCGTAGACTAGAGAAGTCTTAGAAACAAGTTTACAAGAAAGGTTTTTGGAAATGACTCCTAAACCGAAAATGGTTTAGGAATGTCCTTGAGTAGCCGACTAGCTTTAGCCGGATTTTTAGTAAACTTATAGAGTTTGGTAGCCATTTGATTTACAATCACGATGTGCCTATTACTTTCATTAGTTTGTAATACTTCAACATTTCATCATGATGACATAAAATGACGCTTTTTCTCTCTTAACTTCAGAACATTTAAGTCTCTCTAGTTCAACATAGTTGAAACTGATATCTGTTAATGAACTTACCAAGTTGTCTTAGAATATTGCCAGTTTTTATTGAATCTAGGCATATTACACATATTTGTTCCGTAGATGGATCTTCGTTAACTGAGAGTAATGGTATTTTATTTAAAACTGTTTTTGCTGCTTTTTTTAACCGTTGCTGAAAACGATCTTTAGCCGTGCGCGTTCTTCTTCTTTGACAATAATAAAATAGTAGCCATGATAAACAAAGACATATTAATATACAAACTGAAGCTGCTACGAAAATTGTCGCTTGTTTACTACTGAGAAATATATCACGATTTAAGTCATCATTTCTCGTCGGTTCAATTGTTATATTTAGTTTTGCTCGTCTATCGATTGCGAGATATAAAAGATTTTGGCCTAATGAACGTTGTATATAAACTGCTAGCATATCCGAACAATTTTGAATCATATCATATAACTTGTTGTCGTTCTCAAATGGATCATAAATAAGTACAGCTTTAAATAGAAAAAGAATAATGTCTTAATATTTGAGATAAATAATACAATTATTTACCTTGTGCACCATAATTTTTCGCTCGCTGAATTTTTGTTGTAAACGAACAATCTCCACCTCGCGTTATTATTGCAATCCATGGAGGATTCACAGAGGGAGTAAGTGTTGGTAACGGATCTTTACATGCGTCATGAGAATTTGAAGAAGAAATCAATACATAAACCGGACCATTAACATTTTTCACTTTTCCAGTCGATGATACGAGGCCACTAATTATACGTTCACTTGTACGATTTGTATAAGAATTAGGTATAAAATATTCATACTCCAATAAAACGTTGATGGTCAACGATGATGTCGATGTAATGCAAGATGTTAAAAGTATAAAAAGTAGTATAAAAGATATTTCCATTGCAAAAATTTCGACTAAATTAGATAAATGGCGTCATCAATCAGCTGTCTAACTTGATACAAGAAGAATATGTAAAATATTATTAAAAATTCAAGTAGAAAAAAAGAAATAGGAGTTTTTATTAAGTACAACATATATACATTCTATAATCATGATTTTAAAGTTATGTCTTTTTTTGCAATTGTATATGTAATACGAAAAATTATTACTCTTACTAGGAGTAAAAAGAGGAACAACCTACAGTTTAATTTATTAATCTTTGTAAAAAATAGCAGTTCTCTGATAACTGATATTCAAAAGAATTTTAATGAAACGAGCTGTGAATATAAATAATAAAAATGAATTGGATCAAGCATATAGGAAAAAAGTTCAGTTTACACATTTCTATTATATAGTTACACTACTAGGCTTTTCGTGTAATATTAAAATAGGCTACCTTTCATTTCCGTTAAAACTTGAATAGTAAAAAAATCTATAAATTTTTTCATGTATAAGAGAAAGAAAGAGAGAGAGGAGAGAGGAGAGGGGAGAGGGAGATAAGTTTCTGAGAGAAAAATTATAAAGACATTAAGTCCTCATGAGTGTTATGACGCATAGGCATATCCTAAAAAAGTAAAGAAAGAGTGGAAGAAATGAACATAGTCTCAACAAAATATTCTCGTGATAACCTTGATGAAAAACAATGGCTATTTAATTCAAAGACGCATACGCCACACAGATGGTGTTCTTGCGTAAATTCTGCTGGTATAAAAGATTTTTTTTTCTTTTTCTTAAGATGTATAAAAAGAAATTTCATATTATAACGTCGATCTAGAAGTTTGAATGACAATACATAACATTTTTAATTTGCTACGAAAGCAAATGAAATCGTTCTTTTCTAAAGAGAAAAATCAGCAACTGTCAACGAGATCCTTTTCACTGAAAACGGCATTGTTCAAGTGAAAAAATATCGAGAACAATTTAATACCTCTTTCGTACGTTCTCTATTTTTCAAGATTCTCTTATGACCGTAAACTATTAAACTATAATATAATTTGTGTTATATGTTAATTGAATTTCGCTTAATCTGCTCATTGTATTTTATTCTTAATGAGCACAATTTTTCTTTGCGTGAATAATCTATAAGTATATATATATATATATATATATATATATATATATATATATATTCATGTTTGTGTTTATACAAACATAAAACTAAGAGATGTGATATACACACTCACATATGCAATATTTCGATGTGGCTCATTATGCCTGATTAATTTAGTTGTACAAATACTCAAGACATGTACAACTTTTAGATAAGTAACCGCCCGTTTTTATTTACTGTATGAATATGGAATTTATTGTACAAATTAGAAGATAGATCTGTATCATATATGACACGGTGGTTATTCTAATATGTAATGATGGCGTGTTCATAATCGTGTCTCTACAAATACAGTATCGAAATTTACTATTCTAATAGATTTTTTAATAAAATTTGATAATTTTTACTTTCGACAATGGATAATTGAAGAGAGTAGGAACAATATAGATCAAACGATAATTTCATCATTTAACTTTTTCTCAATATACAAATACTGCAGTAGAAAGACTATTGATCAACAAATAGATTGATTAAATAATTAATAATTATTTACGGTATAAACGATCTTGTGAAAGTTTCTTATAACTAAGACGTTGATTTTTTGATATTTTTTCCAAAATCGAATGATATCTGTTAATCCAAGATCTTAGTTTACAGGAAATTTTATTCGAGGACAATTATAAAAGTTTTATCCACTTAACAAAAAAAATAGTTTTCTCTTCATCTTGTAATATTTTTTGGAATTTGCATGTGTGTGCGTATCGTATCTATCGTGAAGCATGAAGAAAAAATTTTCTTCTTTTTTAACATCCTATATTTTTTTATTTTTTTTTTTTCTATCAAGAACAAGAAAAGTAATGCTGTGAAACGGAAGTAATTGGAAATTTGTATGTGTATTTTCTTTTTAATGTCTGAAAATATTTAAATGAGAGATAAAAAGTTGTTGTGATATTATTATTATTTTTAGAGGTGAAAGATAAGGCGTCAGTCAAGGTTGTCTATCTCAGTAAGTGTAACAATTCAAAAATTAGCAACAGAATATTCAATCACTTTTTTTATTATCATTTTGTTTTGTATATCTCTGTTGTTATATACACATCATCATATTTTCAAGAAATGCTCATGTTTCTTTATTTGCTAGCGTATCGATTACTCTTTTGATCTGAGTAAGATCGGGAATAATCTAATAGTTTGAGGCACATAGTATATTTAATAATAACTGTGTGTCATTTCATGAAAAATAACCTTGAATAACTAAAGTAGCTATGAAAACTGAAAAGCTCTTATAAATACCTAATAATTCCAAAAATATCTGTAAACTCTAACACTTAAGTATTAATGAACAAAGAATTTCACGTGAGAACATATGAATACTCTTAATTTGTTATAAGAACTTGTTTCATTACTATTTTTAACTAATAATTTGAGTATTCATGCGTAAGCATATTTACTAAGATATAGAATGAAATTTGATCATTACTGGAAAAGAAAACCAATAAAGTTTTACTGTACTAAGATATTTTTTCAGCACGAAAAATGGCGTATGTAGTTAGTCGTGTGTACACATGATCTTTAAATGTATCTATTTGAGTTCAAAGACGTAGAATATTTTCCATACATTCTAACATTGAAAATGCATTTTCGTAGACGACGTGAAACATCTGAATACGTGAGCTTTTTTAACTCGAAGGTTATGTCTAATCAGAAAAATTGATCTGACTTTTAACGCTATAAACACAAACAAGCATGTAACTGAAAATTTTTACGCTTCTGACTTGAACATAGAAAGTGTCTCGTTTACTTCAACGAACACATTAGTCTAGTAAAGAAGTTTAATTTTTACCTGCAGTAAAATTTGAACTTAAACGTTAGTTGTTAGCACGTTTATCAATTTTTTTTAGCGATGATGGTTATAGACATTGATCGATAAACCTATTAATACTGGTAGATTGAGTAATTGTTGAACAATCGATAATAAAAAAAAAAGAAGAACGTATTCATTCATTCTCCTTTTCTTTAACATGATGACAATATCTCTCTCTATATGTTATAAACAACGAACGATAGATTTTTTTTTTATAAACACGAAAATATTGGTATTTTACTTATATTACTTTTTTCTATTGTTCATGTTGTTTATGTTGTTGTCTCTTTCTCTCTCGTCTTCTTCTTTTTTTTTTTTATGTTTCTTACGGGTGCTCATATATATATATATATATGTCGTCCTTTTATTCCTATAATATCTATCGTATTTACAAAAAGAAAAAAATTATTTCGTTGCGCACATATATCTTTTCGTCTATATGAACGTTCATAAAAAAAAAATTTTCATAAATGATAAGATCCACATCTTCTCTACTTGGCCAAAAAAAAAGAAAAATTGTGCCTTTTCTTACTATATTAACGACAATCTTTTTACTTTTTGACAAAGAAACCTTGTCTACAATCGGAGCTTCAAACGTAGAGTTTTTGTAACTCCCTTCATTTTGAATCAAAAAAGAGTTGATGCATCGATTTAACAACTCTTGCTACGATAAAGATTAATCAGCTCTTTCTATTTACTAAAAAAATTTGAACTCAGAATTTTCTCGAATTTTTGACTATTTCTAGGAAATATATTGACGATTAACCAATAGTAACAGTTTTATGTAACTCGAGAAAGACAAAAACAAAATGACATTAGTGTGAGTGTGTCTTATCAATTGAGTAATAATATATACGTGTATGTATATGTGTATGTAATATAACTGATTAATAACGTAGATATACGCCTATAATTGAAGGTCAACATGTGTAAGACAAGCTAGAGCACCAGATAAGTTTTTTTTGACTAACACACACACGTTAAGACCGATATCATTGAAAAAAGTTGATGGATGTAGAAGTCTTTTTATTAATGAAAAAAAATAAATAAATGAATGTCGGTATGTATCTAAAATAGTAACTATAGACATAAACTTCGCAAAAATATAAAAAAAGAGTTATAATCTTTCTTATAGAAAAGATTTTCTTGAGATGTATGAATTATTATACTGTCTGGAGCTTGTCACGCACGAAATCTTTTCTCTTTTTAATAGTACTAATTTTAAGTCTGTTATGCGTGTGTACAAAAAGTATATAAAACTAGTCTCCACTTCTACGTCTACACTCGAGTAGACAAACGGAATGAAAACATGATGACGTCCGATCATCACAATGAAGATTTGAAATTATGTCATGTGATTACAAACTCTAACCTTCAAAGCATAGAAATCCAAGAGGCTATCTTTTACTATCAAGTTTAATTTATTTACAGCATCGAAGATATTATTATACAAGCATTATTTTACAGAAATGTATGATGTATCTAAGCAACTTTTAATGCTCGGTGTGTGGAACATATGTAGAATCTCACGTAAATATGAGACAGACCAAATAGAGATATGATGATGGTGAATTGAATGACATGCGTTTTTAAGGAAAAAAGACTAATGTCTGTCTATAGTGATGCAACACACCTTTCTCAAAGTTGATAATTATTGCATAAAAATTCTGATACATATGCTCACTTCTGTCTTTTTTTCTCATTTATTCGTGAATCTTTCAAATATGCAGTATGAATATAACACAGACGATAGAATACGTACTAAAATTATCATATTTCTTTGAATTATTAAATTATGACATCTCATATTCGACGTTACGAATTCAGCTAACTTTTTTCTTTTACATCTTGTTTAATTCAGTATGACAAACATTTGAACTTTTTAAAACGCCGAAGAGATGAAACAAAATAAAATAAAATTTTCAAGGTTATCTCAACAGAAACCAAAAAAGTCAAGAACATGATTATTTATAGAACAAAAAAAAAGAAAAAAGAAGACACTCTTAACAAAAATTAAAAAAAAAAACTGAGATCTGTCACTTTCAC